GTGGAGCTGGCACGGGGTGGCGCGTGCGCCTCAGCAGAGGTCACGGATGTTAAAACCCAAGTTAGGAGGGCGTTGTCAATGCACGCGCCTCACGTCCGCGGGGGAAATGTCCGCCAGGCCCCAACAGCAGCAAAACGTTCAGCAAGCATAAGACGGCGCGTGTTCTCCTCCCGTGTGACACAAGGCTGCTCGGTCGCCCAGGCTGCGGGCGGCGCTTTCTCCCGTGCGAGGCGCTGGGGGCTGGGCGCCCCCCGCAGGTGCTCCCCCCGAATGTGCTCTTGGGGCAGTCTTGCTGCAGCCCTGCCCTGCTGCCAGCCCAGCGCACCGCCATGCAGGGCCGCTTCCCCGCTTGCAGCCGTTTGAAGGGGAAGCGAATGAAGCGCTGCTGATCTGTGCATAATCCATCGGGAATAAATAGTTAATTACGGATGTGTGACTAGGGATGCCTAACTGTGTTTCGCTTTTCCCAGGTGTTGTTCAGGGGATGATAACAGGAATTCGAGGACTGTGTAATGGCCTGGGACCAGCACTTTATGGCTTTATATTCTACATATTTCACGTTGAACTGAATGAACTGCCCATGCCTGAAGCGCCGTCAGGAGGCGGCGCGGTCACGCAATACCATTTACAACAGGTATCTATTTTTTCTTACTAACGCCAAAAAAAGAAACCAGGAAGGGAGCACGTGCCCACCAGCTCTTGCGAGTGATGCTGGGCCATGTGTCGTTGCGCCAACTGTAACCGAAGCAGGGTCTGAAAGCCCGTGGGGGGGGACTGTTGGTCTGTCCGGCTTTGCTCCGGGGCCTGCTTTCCTTGGCCTGCCGACGGGCGCGCTGACAACTGCTGACCCTCGGAAAGAGAACGGCTGGCGGGAGGGGCGGGCTAATAACCACAGCATCCCCCACTGCATTTACCTTTCACAGGTTGTGTGGTTTTGGGTTTTTGTGCCTTAGCCCTTTAACCAAGCTCTCTGCGTTGGCAGTTCCTAGTAGATACTTGTTGAGGAAACGGAGCAGTGAGGATTTGCGCGGGAACGGGAATCCGGCACTAGGGCAAACGCTGTGGGCGCTCTCCCGAGGCCTGGAGCTGCACCTTCTTGCCCTCTTGCTTCCAAGAGACTCCACACAGGGACAAATGCTGTCTTAGCTAGCCGAGCGAGAGAAAGTTCTTCCTGCTCCTGAAGTTTGTGTAATTAGCGGCTGTAGTCTCACCAGGTTCATTAATACGTTGTGCTCTTACTGTTGTTTTCAGAACTCTATCATTCCTGGCCCCCCCTTCTTGTTTGGAGCGTGCTCGGTGCTGCTGGCGCTGCTTGTTGCCTTGTTTATCCCTGAGCACACCAACCTCAGCGTGCGATCCAGCAACTGGAAGAAGCACTGTGGCAGCCACGGCCACCCCCACAGCCCGCAGGCTCCCGGCGAAGCCAAAGAGCCCTTACTGCAAGACACCAACGTATGACAGAGCCAGGAAGAGCTTTCAGACTTTTTTTTTCCCCTCCAGCGGCCGTTTGGGATACACATTCCAATTCCATCAAAAAATGTCATTTCTTAAGGTAACCTTAAGAAGCGTCTTTCTGCATGAAATTTGTAGGAATTTAAAAAAAAAAAAAGAAAGAAGGAAGTTTCTCCAAAGATGTTGCCATTGACTTAATGACTTGCTTTTCAAACCAAGCTGTTACTACTTGTCTCTTGCCACGAAACACTGCTACTATTAATGTCACGTTCTCGTTCAGAGCCGGGGCAGAGCGGAGTCCTTCCCCTTCCTGCAGGTGGTGAGCTTTAACGCGAGCGGTGCTGCGGCTCTGGCAGCCCTGGGGACCCGGCCCTTTTCATGCTGTACCATCTCGGGTCAGCTGATTCGAAGCCTTAATGTAAATGTACTCAGTAGGGAGGAGGTGAATTGGTATCCTTTATTTTAAAAGTCATACGGCAGGTTTTTTTTTTAAGTTTGTACTAATATAAAAATCACACGAGCACGCTTGCTGAACAGTTATTTTTATGTAAGTGCATTTACTCTCTATTTTTGAATAAGCGGTAGTATCAAGCACTCGCTTAAGTATTAAGTGGGTGTTTTGAGCCTACAGATTTTAATACTGGCTCTAAAACTCTGCTTTCCTAAGTACCGTTTATTATACCACTATCTTTCTGATGTTCGCGTAATCATAAAGGACCTCAAAACTTGAATACACGACTGAACTATGAGCTGATAGCCTGGAGTGTGTCCGTGTGCTCTATAGTGGCCTTGAGGACTGTCACAGCACCCCTTTTGCATTACAGAGCTGATGTTTTAGTCCTAAATTTTCAGGACCCTTAGTACAGAAGAGAGCTTTATACAATTACTGATGTGAATTTCTCTAAAAGTGTATATTTTTGTGTCCAGTTGTATTATTTAAGTGTTCCTTTGTATAAATTTGTGTATAAAGTATTGTATAGGTTTAAAACGTTTTCATCTTGTGGTTATTGCTTAATGCTTTTTTACCTTTGAACATTCACCATGGTTGACCAAGAGCAGGAAAAAAAAGAATATGTAAATATACTGTTAATAAAGTTAAATATTTTAATGAATTTTTAAATAATTGTTAATGTCTCTTAAAACCTTAACTGACGTCTATGGCGTGTGTGTATGACACCCTCGCAGCTGGGGGAAGAGCCTGGGAGCAGGTCCCAGGCTGCGGTCTGTCTGTCAGCTACGGCTGCTCGGCGGGCCCGGGGGCCGCCCCAGGACGGCGCTGGACACGGGCGAGCAGAAAGGGCTCCCTAACAAACAGAGACCCCGCAGCACCGCGAGCCGGCCCGGGCCCTCGGCAGCTTCATTTGGATCGTGACCAGGACTGGGAGATGGGGGAAGCTACCGCACAGCGCTTGCCACCTTCCTGCCTGACAGCAGCTCCCCTGTACTCCAAGAGAAACCCACCGCATTCCCATCAACCTGTGGCTACTGAGACTAAACAAGAGAGAGTCGCACAAGCACCGACCTTAGAGCAGGGTGGCCGCCTTCTGGGGCTTGTATGTGCAGCGTAGCGCTGGTCCAGTAGCCCTGCCTTGCCTGGGGCCGTGAAGGAGCTGGGGAGAAAACTCCAGAAAAAGGTGAATAACAAAGCATGGCTCTGGCACTTCAGTACAGCGGGGAGCTTTGCAGTGGGGTCGTGCTCTTAAAACACTACACAGCAGAGTTGTTGCTAAAACCCATTTAATATTTCCATTGAAAGGTGCACGTGCCAAAGACGTGACTATACATTAACAGGGTGCTGAGCTAGAAACAAATAGACGCATTTTGCACTGCAAAACAAACCACTCAAATCCACAATCCTCTGGATGCGCTTAAATAAGGTAAAAGGTGGGAGATATCTTTAACAACAAAAGAAAGAAAATAGCCATTGACAAGGTATAGTTGGTATGTGACACATAGGTGCGTGCCAGCCCTCTTCTAGGACACCAAGTAAGAGATGGCGCAGCATGAAGGTGCAGCGTGATGCCAGCACCTGAACCCAGGTAGTAGAACAAGCTGAGGAGCCTCGCTCTGCCTAACCTGGGTGCTAGAGTATCCTACATTTCCATACAGTCTTTGGGGTAAAGTACAGTTAGTAAAAATAAAGTAGGGCTTAGCTATGGACGTGTCACAACATCTGATGGTCAGATGCCTCACCTTACCGTGTTTTATGCATGGTGGCCTCTGGATTATAATACTGAGCTCAAGAGAAAGGTTGGGTAGCCAAGAGTGAGAATTCAAAATGATCATTTTATACCATCAGGGAAATAATTTAGCATCTTAATATTAAATATATCTGTAAGTCTATATGCAATTCAAATAAGCTGAACCAAAATTAAGTTTTTCAAATTAAAAACAGTAAGGGAGAATTACTGAGGCAGCCTTGCTCGCTCACGAGCTTGACCATTATCACACGTGACAGCATCGCCCTCTTCTCCAGCACTTTCTGTTTGCATCATCCTTTCCCTGAAAGGAGTCAAGAAAAGTATTCCTAGAGAAACACGCGCTCTCAGGGAATGCTGGAGGGTGCATTTCACCCCTTCGAGCCACGGGTGTCAGCTCCCGTAACAAAAGCGTCAGCGCACTTCAGGGGGGTTTAGGAAGACCAGAGGCTCTCCCGTCTGCTGAGCCCCAGGGCTTTAACATTGTTCCCACTAAGGGAGCGCACTTCAGGGGGGTTTAGGAACCGAGCCCCAGGGCTTTAACATTGTTCCCACTAAGGCTGAGGCTGCTTAAAGCTTTCCCTTTAGGCTCAAGTATCCTGAAGAGTCATCCAAGTAAGTCAAGAGGCCTTGCTCAAAGAAAACCAAGTCAGACTTAGAAAATGACGTCAGTTCACATCGATACTTTACCAATACCTTATTACAGGACATCCAAAAATCCCCAAATGGTTACAAGAAGGACTCTTACAAGAACCCTGTCGGCTATCCAGGAAAATAAGCTGAGGCTGGTGTTACCGTGGCTTTTGGCGATGGCTGGGCCTTTGTTGGCAAGTACGGCTTCAGAAACTCTGTAGAAGCAAGAGACTGTTCTCAGAACCGTAACTGTTAACACCCTGCGAGGACATTTCAAGTAAGGTCCCGTTCACTATTTCCATACATACCCGAGTTAACTGTATTTTGCGTAAGTCCTCGTAAAGGAACACTCTCATCTTTTTTCTTGAAATACTTTGCTTCCAGCCCCAAATTATCACCACTAGAAACAAAAAGGCTAATTAAAATTTAAACCAAATGTAGTTAGTCGGCAGCGCATTAACAAGTGTGGCTCCAGACTCGTTCAGAAAAATCTTAACCTGAAGTGGAACTAGGAAGCATTCCCATTATCATTGAAAGGTAAACCATCACTGAGCAGGTTAAGAACAGCCTAGAGCTTATCTTCTGACTGACCCATCACCCGCTATCCCTCCTTCTGTCACCAGGAGGGACAAGAACTTTTGTTCCTTGGGACCCACTCCTGAAAGCACGGCTCTTGGTTTGTAACCTACGAGCCATGCTTAGTGCCCAGTTCAGCCTGCCACAACTTAAAACGCCTTAACGTGTTGATGGAGAAAGGCAGATCACAGGACGAGCCTGGTGCTGGAAACGTTCCGCTCAGTTCCAGACACACAGAGAAGACAAATGGCTCTATAGTAATAAAAAAAAAAAAAAACCACCACTAAAACAGCAATAGGTGACACTTACTTCTCCTTATTTGCTGGATGACTAGCTGCAGTCACTGTCAGAGCGTCTGAACATCGCGTTGTTTTAGACAGCTGTGCGTTAAATGGAATCTGCAGAGACGTAAGCGTTGAGGTTAAGGAGAGCTGTGGTGGTCCCCAGTAAGCGTGCTCAGAGGGAGAACCGCTCAGGGACTCGTGTTGCCGTGCCTCCCACAGCACTCCTGTGCAGCAAAGCGTGCGCGAATAAGCAACCTAAAGCCCAGCAGCAGCCACTACTGATAGCGAGAATGTTTAAGACCCGGAGCTTAGGAGCACGAGGGTGTACAGTAACTATTTATGCATTTTCAGAAATATTCACAACATTAAGCTTCTGTCTTTTACCCTACCACGTTCTTAACCAAACAGAAAAGTCAAAGCACCTGCCTTTGGTACTGGATATTGTGAGTTGAGATTTTTGTTGTGTGCTGGCTCCGAAAAATTCTGGAAGGTGTACAGAGGAGAAACGGGATGATTGATTCCGGAGCTGGGAAAGGATGGTCGGTCCGGCTGTAAGAGAAATAGAATACATCCATAAAGGAGAAAAGCGCTTCTTGAAGTAATTCTTTGCAGAAGTTCAAAATTCCCAAATGAACAACTAACCACAATTACAAAGCTAACAGTCATTTGAGTCTTCCTGATGGGAACAACATCACTTTTCCAAGACTCACATTCTTAAGGAGAACTTGTAACTTTTAGCAAGTTAGACAAGTTGGGTGCTCTTGGCTAATAATTACAAGCTCATAACAAGCTACACCCCCTGTAACCAATTAATGTATTAAATGTATCTAGCTATGAATCGGAGACCTCTTTGCATGAATACGCCCTTCCACGACTGAATAAGCAGCTCATCGATTGCTAGGTGACAACAGACACCTGTACACACAGGGGCAACAAAGAGTGAGAACCAACAAGCTATGGTATTCAGCAAAGACAGCAGGTAATGCTCCTTACCCCCTCTTACTGTAATAAATGAGAGCTTAGAAAATTCTTACTTTGAAGGCCAGGGCATCAAGTAGCAGCCAACAGGGTGGCATTAACAAAACCACACAAGCTACTAAATGAAATAAAACCAAACAACAAACCACACCCACCCAAAACTACAGGCCCAAAGAGATGAAAGCACTTTTTTTCCCCCCCCCTTTTAAGGCCATGCATTTCAGGAAATGACGACTACATCATAACCATTTTGTTTGTGGTTGTATCTTACCATGCTGTGGGGTGAAATGGCCGTCCGAACACCTCCGTGTGTGCTGGCAGAAGCCTCGAGCTTCTTCGCCATCTGAATTTCATTCAGCTGTTTGTTTAACCATGTGATTACTGAAAAGAGAAGAAAAAGGTCAAGCTCACTCCCTGCCTCTTACAAGCTGTTTAAAACAGCAAGTAGCCCTTCCTCAAAAAAAGCGGCAGCTTGGTGGACTCTTTTTCCTCCTTAAGCTCAAGCACGACAAAGTCCTGCTTTCCTGAAAAGCCGCTCAGCTCAAGCTTGCTGCACCCCTACGTGCCATCGCCCCCTCCCCTGGAGTGAGCCCCCCACACGCCACCCCAAGCACCAGCTGCAAAGGGAGTCATCTCTGCTTGCAGCTCTAGGGTGTCGCGCACCCACTACAGACAGCAGCTTATTTTCCGAATCGCAGCTCTTTACCAACAAAGCGCACAGGTAAAGCAATAGAGTGGCTTCCATTAATTTTCAGTAGCAGCTAGATCATGATGTTGTTTTTACAGAGGGAGAAATAAAATTGTATAAACCCACCGTTTTCATTGGTTTTCAGCAGCTGCTTACTTTCTTCTAGTTTTTGTATTGTAGTTTCTAGCTGTTCTTGTAGCTTGCAAACCTGCAATATTCCCGCAGTAATTATAACAACATCAGGAGCTACTACTAATTACAAAATGAAGCAAAAAATGTAACATAAATAAAAAAAAAGGATCTATGAAGTTGTTCTAAAATTAGAGACGTTTGAACTCTGTTTTTTTTTTTTACAAAAGCAGTATGATAATTCTATTAAAATAAGCCCTACTTTCAAGCTAGGGTTTTGACAAGATGACAGCCAGAAACCTTTCCGACCTTAATTTTTCTATGATTAAATAATACAAGGACTCTAAGCCGGGGGATATACTTAATGGAAGAAAAAGTTCACTCTGTTCCTGTTCTTGCCTCCTTCACCAACTTTCACACGAGCGTGCCTTCTAAAGCACGTCGATTCATCCATTGCCTTGCTTTGCATTCTTAATACAACTTTAGTTTTCTTCCACAAGGATGGATGGCTCTTACAAATCAGTTAAGCATGAAAAGAAATGAGAAGTCAATTACATGTTTAAATGAACGTGTTAACTAAGTAAAAGAGCACATTCTATTCCATGGAAAGACTGAAGACCCTGCTGCTGTAAATAAATAAAGTAAAAACCACAAAACCCAACAGACTAACACAACGGCATTTGCAGGGCAGAGGGTTAGCCGATCACACTACCTCCTGCTCTTTCATTCGAAGAGATTGTCCCATCTCCTGCGATTCCCTCTGCTCTTTTTGAAGCCTCTCTTCTTTTTCTGCCAATAGTTTCTCCTGTTGAATTGTTACTGTATTTTTCAATTTTAATTTACTCATTAGAGTTTTCAAATCTCCTTGTAACTTCTTGATAATTTCATTAGCCTATTAAAAAAAAAATGAAGATATTTTTAAAATAAAGAAACACCTTTTAAAAACAAGGAAAACATTTCCTAAGGATAATGGCATGTTCAAACAAACCTTAAGAAGTTCAGCTGACAGCGACTTAATTGTTGTCTCTAATTTTTCAATATGACTTTGTTTTTTCTCTGTACTCTCTTCTAGTACCACCTTTAAAAGAACATTACAAATATTATAATAAAGATAAGCGATAGACATCGCTTATGATTTCAAGTAGAACCTCAGTAATTCTTTGAAAACCAATCCTTATAAGAAACTCAGTCCTTCCTTTTCAGTCAAATTACATAGGATCTCAATCCATCCATTTTTTTGTTTAAAAAAAATACCACTAACTTTATCCCAGTACCACACTATTAAAACAGCAACGACCTTTGTAGAACTGAATCCAGTATACTTTCAATGCCATCATTTAGAATCTTTAACTACATTTAAAAGCTTACTTGCTGTATTCATAAAAACTGGTGAGCTGCTAATCTATAGAGACTGCAATTAAGAAGGTTCTACAGAGCTTTAGAGAACATTATTGTGAAACTTGAACCTTTTGTTCCTGTGTCGCATCCAATACTTCTTTTGTTCTAATAACTAGCTGATCTTTATCTTTGATCTCTTGTTCCAGAACAGCAACTCGCGTCTGTAGCTGATTAATGAGTTTCTCTTTTTCGTGACATTCAGCGTCCAGAGTAGTGTTCTCCCGCCGCAGTGACAGCACCTCCTGCTTTGCTCTTTGACATTCCTAGAATGTTGGGAAGGAATTTTTTTTTTTTTTTTTTTTTTTAAAAGAAAACCTGTGATAGTAATTTAAGCAGATATATCTAAACAGTAAGCATAACGTGGAATGAAGAGGAGCTGAACAAACTTAATATGCTATATTTTCCATTACATGCATAGCCAGGCAGTGTTAATGCTCTAGAAATTGCAAGTTTGGTTATGGAAATTAAAAAGCCATACATCATCTACTCCAGAAAGCTTTGCTTTCAGTTCTCTGACTGTGGAGTCTCCTTTGTATCTTCTTTCTGTTAGATCTTTGTTGATGACCTCGAGTTCTGAGAGTCTGTTCTGCAGCTGTTGAATACTTTTCTGATGCAAGTTTTCCAGTTCCTTTTTCTGTTGTTCATGCTGTTGTTGGTACTGAGCTTGCGCCTATTAGAAGCAAATAAACTAAGTTGTTATTCAATGAATCTGACAATTAAGCCAAGAAACTATTCACACATAACAATATTGGTAATTCTTTTCTGTTGTCATACCTGGAGAGCCCTTTCCTTTTCATTTGTCAGCTCCTGCGTGTGCTTGTTTGTTAGAGCTGTAGTGTATGATGTCCACTCATTTTTCAGTTTGTCTAGTTCTCGGCTCTTCTCTGACAAGTTCTGTTTGACAAGGCACGTAGAGTTTTAAAAATTTAAGCATTTCAGTCAATACTGAGTGATTCTTTGCTGTTACTTCTTAAAAAGGACATGGAATTATTAAGAAAAGTCTAAATTTCAGCACCAGGTGCCAAAATATCTGTTCATTCTGTAAAGAGTAAAGTAAGGCACTGAGAAGCCAAAGAGCACTTTTCTGACACTGTGGATAAAATAATCTTAATTTCCAGTTGCATTTTCTCCCAACCACTATTTAAGAGTGAAAAAACAGTCTGCTGATGTTCCCTACCTACCCTTACGACATGAAGTGCTTCCAACCACTATTTAAGAGTGAAAAAACATTCTGCTGATGTTCCCTACCTACCCTTACAACACAAAGTGCTCTACTAGGGGAAGAAAAAAAAAAGTTCTTCAGCAGCATCTTTTCCTCTTTTCTGATTTGTAATTTTGCATTCCAATTCAGCAAACACATTCCAGTAACTCCAACTGAAATGGCAAAGATGAGGTAAACAAGCATTCCATTCCAAAAAAGCTCCGTAATAGGAGTTTTAATGGAATTTTTCTCTTTCATGAGAGCCAAAAGAGTCACCTTGATAATTCTAGAATTTGACCCAAATCATCTTCTTAAAACACAAGTGTGAAGTCGTTACTGGGCTGACTGCAAACATCAAAAAGTAGTAGAGTAACATGAAGTCCAAGACTTCTATTTATCATGGTTTCACACTTTTTTCCAAGTATAAGGACCTCCAACCATTCACAGAATACATAGAGTATATTTACCTTCACACTACCATACATTTAGTATATAATTTGTGTGTGCATATGCAGACAGACCTCTGTACAAAATAAAGTAAAATTCTGTTTTAGTACTGTGAGAATTAAATTTTATTTTTCAGTTGCACACTTACTCATCCTTAAGAAAAGCTACATCAGACTACCTTTCTGCTTTTCACTCACTCCCAAGTCAATTATCTTGGCGAGGTAGTGGCTAACCAACCAGCTGACAAGAAGGTACATTTTCCACAGATTAAAAAAAGTGCAAATTACAACAGGAAAGTTAAAAATTTACACTACCTGTTGAGTGTAGCTCAGTTGTCTGGTAAGATCCTCCTCAGTTTTTCTAAGCTTTTCTTCCAACATCTTTTTCTCTTCCTACGTACAAATTGACATCAAGTCAAATCCTTAGCTCCCAAAATACAAGTAGTATTCAGCTTCCACTTTATCAGCAAACCCTGCCTAAGCAGCCACATGCCCATTATATTTGTGGAAAAGTCAACTTATTGAAGAACCTTCATCTTGAATAAGATATAATATTTTTTTTTAAAAAGGTATTAGCTCACAAGGTAAAAACCCTAAATTAAATTATTACCGAGTTTTTGTAAGGAAATAGTTATTAAGACTTGTTTATAATATTTTTTTTTTTAAAAAGGTATTAGCTCACAAGGTGAAAACCCTAAATTAAATTATTACCGAGTTTTTTGTAAGGAAATAGTTATTAAGACTTGTTTACAAAGGAGTTGCATGAACAAATCAACTGAAATACTGTACATTTATATTATTAAAGTGGCTTATTAGGTGGCTGTAACTGTGACAGCACAGTAGGAGATACAAATCCCAGGGTGTGGAACTGAAACAGACAACAGTCACACTATGAGACCATTAATTTCTCATTAAATGAAACCTAGCATGCTACAAACTGCATCAACATTACAATTTTAATTTCCTATTTATAGCGACTAGCCCTTTGAAGCCCATAAAGCCTTAGAGTTACATACACACACGTGCTTTCCTAAACGCAACTGCAGAACAAAGACACTGAAAGTTTACAGTATTTTACTTTTGCAGTTGATCTGGCAATCAGCACGAGGCTACAAAGCACGAGGCACTGAAACATTCAAGAGGATTCAACAGCTGCATGTTAAATGCACTGCATATGTCAAATACCTGATTTCCTGCCAGTTCAAATTATAGCGCTTATATTGTCATCGCTAGAGTGACAGTAACAATTTCATTTTACAACATGCACCCAAATAACCGCATGCAACGACATATACGAGCCAAAATAGAAAATAAACCAGAGCATACAATTTGGTACATATTTTTAAAGTATTAAGACTGAAAAAATGCTTAAGTGCACACAGCATCAAGGCCATGACAAGCCTTCATTTTACCTTAAGGCATTTCAAACAGCTGGCTAGAAACTTCTTTATTTCTGTATCATTTCCTGGTAGGAATTTGAGAGAGAGATGGGTAAGATGTTTAAAAGGGTTGGTCTCCACTACATTTAAAGAGACAGGCGTGTGATCTAGAACAGACACTGAAGAAACCAACTGCAGCAAAAACCTAGGGAAAAATCAGAAATAAGCAAGCGTTTAACATATTTATTTTCTTGAAACTACCTGTAGATCCTACAAGCTATTTTCAAATAAAATACATTTTTATACGTGCAATAAAAGGCTGCCCAGTTTTTGTCTGAAAAAGAACTATGACATTCAATCCCTACCTTGTAGTTAATACTACAAATGTCAACTAAAATGCTTGCACCTTACAACAAGAAATGAACAAAATGAATCCGTTTCTTTATTTGTAAGATTTTCAGAATCCCATCTTAGACTTAGGAGTCCAAAACCAAGGAAGGCCTTTGTAACTAAATTCGAGAGGTAAAAAAGACTCCTGACTTTTAGGTATCCTATAACCTAGTAAAATTCACAGCCCACAGTACATACTTCAGGAAATGGCCTGACTATGGAGTGGAGCAAGGTACTCTGGACAGGGCTTTCCTCAGTACCCACACAAACAAAAATAAGATACAAAAAGGCCACTACAGGGAAGGGTGGGCCTCCAGTCTCCTCCCTCACATACTAATATCTGAACACTGAAATGAAAGAAGAAAAATCCTTGTCAGAATGCCTTATAACTTTGCCTTCTCCTGTGAAACAGAATGATTTACAATTCAGTCCATCAAATTCAGACTAGCTCTCTAGCATTAAACTGTTAAAAGGACAAAAAAAAAAAAAAAGAAAGAAAAGGACTGGTGCTGCATCCTTGCCCTTCTGCTAGCTTGGGAAGTTTGCCAGCTTCAACCCAGATGGGGAGACCATTACTAGACATCAATTCCATCCTTGCCCTTCTGCTAGCTTTGGAAGTTTGCCAGCTTCAACTCAGATGGGGAGACCATTACTAGACATCAATTCCACTGCTCCATCCTCCTGAGACAGTTTTTATCAGCAACATCTGCTGACTGATACCCTGATGCGTCCAGGGGAAGGTTAAATTATTCTTGTTCTACTGACTCTTCTCAGCCCAAGGGGACGACAAGTATTTTAAGACCTCAACACACACGCACACACAGAGTAATATGGCACTCACTTATTACCTACCTTGGGATTTCTTTGTTCTGTTCCTGAATGCATTGTTGAAGCAGATCTATAAATTTTTGCGGGAAAGCAGAGAAGTCCACCAAGAGACCTTGCTGGGATTTCAAACTATATAAACAGATTGGGGAAAAAAAATTAAGAATATATAGAAGCGTAATTTATTTCCTATGAAATATTTTGTTTACAGTAGTAGAAAGAACTAATTCTGATCGTGTCATTAAAGTTTGCTAGCATGTTATTTTCAATCCTTAACACAAAAGAAATGTGATCACGTCTTGGACAATAATTACCAAAGGGTATTTTTTTATTTCAAGAGTTCTTGGAAGTGGACTGAACTAAGAAAAAAAAAAAAAAGAAGCAATTGTGGCAGAACAAACGTTCTTGTTTTCTTTACAGCACAGAGTGGTAAGATTATTGGATAGGGGCACACGGAAGAAGCAAAGGACAATGAGGGGAGTTTCAACCATTATCAAGACTTTATGTCCCTGATGATTATTTAATTGCCCACCTTCACCACAGACAGACACAATAAACTCAAAGAGAAAGAGACATTCAACAGTGTATGCACTAAGCTGTACCTTGTGTAACAAAACACTTCTGCACAGCTGTTTTATATGATTTTACTTTGATCCATACATTGATCACATCTCTCTCTCAAAAAAACCCACAAAACACCACCACCATACAAACAGAAACAAAACTCCCAAACAACTAAGCAGAAAACTCAACCGTTCATGCCTGATGCCCAAATTTGATGATCAAATTCTGAGTGAATAAAATGAGACCCAACAGTACAATACGTATGTAAGAAACCCGTAAGACAAAGGCTCAGGTCTGTGAAGCCATGTCCATGCAAACAGTTTCCTCCTGCAATTACTTCTTTAAATAGTTCGCGCACACACAATAGTCTATAAGAAGTAGTAACGATGAACAGATGCATGTAGTAACATAAACTGTGGTACTGTAGCTATGCAGGAAACTTAACATCAGGATTCGGTCACTTATCTGTGTCATTTTGAGCCAATCACATCCCTGTACTTGGCCGTTTCACCAACTGCTCAAGGAGAACAATACCACCAAAATACTGACAAAACTCCACAAGTGAAAAATGCCAATACCTAAATTCTAAGATAGACCATTCTAAGTTAAAAATATTCCTTTATTCTTTTTTGCCATTTAGAAGTGTTTCACAGACAAGATGTTAGAATTTCACTTACCTTTGAAAATCTTCCTCAGATATGACAAGGTTATAAAGGAAAAAAGGATCAGTATCATCAGTCAATCGAACAGCTAAATCCTGAAGAGAGACATTTAAATACGATTTAAAATACCATAAACCACCCTGTAGAATTGTTTAAATATTGTGAACCAATATTGCAAACAGCATTTAATGTTTTTACTGTTTAATCAAAATAAGATAGAATTGTGGCAACTCATTCAGAAGGTGGAAAACATTAACACAACTTCTAATATTACAGTGGGAAAACGAAGAAAACTATCTCTCACAAAAGTAAACCGAGTAAAAACCTTCAACTGTGAGCAGCAAAGGTTTCAAAATTCAATGTGTCATCATCATTTTACAGAAAGAAAACTATTTGCTATTTTTCCCTCATCGTGAAATAGAGTGCAGCACTAGCAGTCCACTGTAATGGATCACAAACATCATTCCCATAACTGCAAGTTTTTCACAACATACTGCTCCTAACAGTGTAAGAAATCACCTTCTGAAGATTTATATTTTTGAATACAGAACTTTGCAAAGCAAACATAAAATGGATACACTAGCTTTTAAAAATAAACTCATTCCTTTGCTGGAGGTCTACACAGTGTTTTGGAACAACGGCCTTCTCTGTAAAGGTCAGACTTCCGTGACAAGGCTGGGGTTATGCAAAACACCTGGTACATTAGGCCCAGGCACCTGTTCTCTATAACGAGGCTCAAACCTGTGTGAAGAATATTATGTTCCCTAGCAGAGGGAGGGAAGGAAGGAAGGAAGGAAGGAAGAAGAAAACTGTTAGTTCTTCCAACATAGCTGAAGTGTGACCATAGCCCATGTATGGATACAGGACTGAAACAAGTTTCGGTAATTCAGATACCAGTAACACTAACAAAACTCTCAGTTGGAGACAGATAAACAAACTTAGGGATTTATACCTGCAGCCAGCTTATGTTAAAACTAATGCCACCCCAAACCAACTAGGGCGGGTTGGTGAGTAGGATAAGAATGCTGCTTGGTTTGATGTCCCATTAACTGATCCAGGCATCTCAAGTTACCTTTTGAGACTGATAACTCAGAGTGTACCCAAATGGATTTCCAGGCTCCTGCTGACACAGGCTGCAACTTGGTATGCAGTTCTTAACTAAACTGCTTCTTCACACTCAGTATTATCAGTTAGTTAGCAGCATCTTACGAAAAAATGCTGCGCTCCTTTACAAACAAATCTTTACTCAATAACACTATAACCAACTAATGACCAATCTTAACATCAGGGTAGGTGGATGTACAGTTTAAGTGACAAATTAGACGTATAACAAAAAAAGATTCTACAACCTCCAGTAGTAATCTCATTGCTATTTTTCCTGAGAAAGTAGACTTTTTTTTAACTGCAAATTTAGTACATTACTTCCTTCCTACCCCCACTGGATGAATTCCAAACATTCAAAGACTAACACGCTTATCAATAAAAAGCAAAATGTTACATCCACATACAAGTTGTCATTTTTGCTACTTAAGAGGAGGACTTTGCAAAGACAACTGCTGCTCTACATTCTTAAATAAGCCTTGACTTACAAATAAATAAAGAGAGACTGCTATTAAGCTCTAACTTGGGTTCCTCTGAGGGTCTCCAAATACTTTTAATTTGGAAGTTTAGTAAGACCCATGAACGGCCAAACCAAAAGAAAGGGCTAAAGAGGCTAGGAAAAAAACACCGTACCAGACCAACTAAATTACTCAAGATTTTATATTGAAAATAAAATAAGGTCAAGTGACAAACATACTAAAATCCTATTTTGCTTTTCCTTTGCCTATTTATCCTCTTATACAATGAAATTCAGATAATACCTAATGAATGACACAAACATAACTAATCCACAAACCTTTTTGTGAACAGGATTAGACATTGACAGTAGCTCAATATTCACTCGAACATTTAATCTCCTGTGTACAAAAAAGATGAAACTTAGTAACAAATCAAGGAAACATTCTCCAAACAACATGTGTTGGTAGCCACATTACAGGAATCAGATGACATTTAGAAAACAAAAAGTTAGGCAGAAGTAGTGAGAAGGTTCCCATTGACGACTACTACTAAGATACCTGAAAGCCCCACAGTTTCAGTTATCATTACAGCTCCTCAGTCAGCTCAGGTTTTTTTTTTCTTGCTTCTTATCCACCAAACTTTAAATAGCGAGACAGAAGTTTTGAAGCTCCGTCCAGAAACTAGAACCTTGGGGAAAAGCCTGCTGGTATTCAATGATCGATGAAACTTTTGACAGTCACTTATAAAGCGCTACCTTGCCTTCACTTGCTCCTTGCTGAGCAACCCGCGAAGTGACTTGCCCTACACCACGCACCCGGAGACCTCAGCCTGTCTGTGCCTTCCAACACAGGCAAGCCAGAGCAGCCCCAACGCCTGCACCCGCTGCCCAGCCCGGAGCGGGCCCATATTCCTGAAATTCACTGTATTTGGCAGAGGCGCCTCACGTAACATACCCCTGGGCTTCCCCAAACGCCGGTGCCAAGCCGTGCACACGGGCGCGCCCCAATGGACTGCGGCCTCGGCAGAAAGCGATGGGGGCGGAGGTGCGGGCTCGCCCGGGCGGTGAGGGAGCCGAAGCGCTCCAGGAGGCCGCGGCAAGGCCGGCTAGGGACTGGGGGGGGGAGGGGGGAGAAGGGGAGGGGGGGGGGG